AAACATCCAAATCCTCCCGGGGGAAAAGTAATCACCTCCTGCAACATCTGTCACTTCCAGACACTTGTCATAGGTGTCCCTCGTAGCAACTCCAGCCAACCAACACAGACATCGGCAAAAGTTGGACGCATGTTACAAGAATGTGCACACACTGCTCGTTCATCTTTGCCATCACAGACAACACGAAGAGGCACTCAACGGGACTGGGGACACAGATCAATTAAAGAGGGAGCGGAGAAGAAGGTAGGACCCCCACCGTTTATGAACCTGACCTGCCCACCCCCCTTCCCCCCTCCCTGAGCCCGTCTGGGCAGGACCACCCGCCACTCTCGCTCGGATGCGAGATCTCAGATGAATCACAGATTCCCACTACCTTCCCTTCCCCCTGCATGCAATCCTCGGGCAGCCTCCTCAGGAGAGGGGAGGGAGGGGGCGGGGAGCGCACATCTCCCAGGGAGAAGGCTGCCAAGATGGAAAGCAAGCTGAAAAAAACAAGTAGCAACAACACAGACAGTATGTTACCATTTGTTTTTCAGAAAACACAAAACAATATTACATTTCCAGATGTACATGTATACATATGTAACAGCATGGAGCCATCTAGCTACTCCCTGATAGGGAAATTGCCCCGCAAGCTACATGCATACAGTTAGGTGGTGGGGTGCTGCATAGGTATTAAAATGACTAGATAAAAGTCATCTCAAATTTAAAAATAACACACAAGAGAATGCATAGACTGCTTCCAGTAGTATAAAACCACGTGCACGCATGTTCACGAGAGAAGGGAGCTCTGAATGAGTCACAGTTCATACACTATAGAGCGGGTTTAAAGCACACTCGAGCAATACAAGCAAATGGGGAAAGTGTTTATATTTCAATGTTTAAACGACACAACACAATTCATTCCCTTACAGAAAGAAAAGAGAAAAGATTTTGGAAGGAAACCCACTAAACTAATAACAACGGTTGGTCTGGGAAAGGACGGGAAGATGGGAAGCACCCTAGTCCATCCGGGTTGCTATAAAAAATTACTACAGCGGCTCCCAGCTGGCTCAGCCGGTGGAGCGTGGGGCTCCTGATCTCAGGGCTGTGGGTTCGAGCCCCACTCTGGGTGTGGAGATGACTTAAAAAAAATAAAATCTATTTAAAAATCACTATGAGCAGAGTGGCTTCTGTGCAACAGAAATGTGTTTCTCACAGGTCTGGTGGCCGGGAAGTCCAGCCGGGTTTCTTGTTCACAGATCGCATCCATGAGTGCCCACGTGTCCCCACATGCCAGAAGGGGCAGAGGGGGCACTTGGGGACCTCTTTACAAGGGGTCCCACTGATCCCACTGTAAGGCCACCACACTCGTGACCTGATCACCCCCAGAAGGCCCCACCTCCTAACACCATTACATTGGGGGTTAGGACTTGGCCACATGAATTTGAGGGGGACAAAGGGAATTGCACATAAGTTTTTGGGGTTTTTTTGGGGGGGAGGGTGGGTTTTTTTTTTTTTAGTTTTTACAATGAGATTTTTGTGTTGTATTGATGTAATAGTAATATGATTAAAAAGAAAGACAGGAAGCCTTGGGGACACACGCCCTACCATCCTTCCCAAGCCTACCCTTCTACCCACTCATAGAAAAATCACTGCTTTAAACTCAAGGCAAAGGCTTCCCACCTACTGCTATCCTCACCTTCATACAGAAGTAAAACTACTGCAAAGATCATAAAAATGCCAATGTCTCCAAACAGCTGTTCAATATCCATTCTGTCTCTCCCTAAGGCCCTGGGCTTGGGCTGGTCCCAGTCACATTCGTCAACCCCCCCAGCCAGCCTTCTTCCTGACGTCTAGCAGGTGGCTCTTCTGTCCCCCCCCCTCCCCCAGCTTCCTTCCTTCTCCCATTAGGACACCATTTGGCAAGGGCGCCTGGGTGGCTCAGGCAATTAAGTGTCTGACTCTCGAGTTCGGCTCAAGTCATGATCTCACAGTTCATGAGTTCGAGCCCCATGTCAGGCTCTGCGCTGACGGTGCAGAGCCTGCTTGGGATTCTCTGTCTCCCTGTCTCTCTGCCCAGTGCTCACTCTGTCTCTCTCTCTCTCTCAAAAATAAATAAATAAATAAATAAATAAATAAATAAATAAATAAATAAATAAATTTAATTCTTTTAAAAAAAGACACCATTTGGCAAAATCTCGGTAAATCTCTGTGAGCTCATGTCCTGTTAACAGTGACTGCCTGAGCCTTCTCTGCTTTACTCCCAGATAAAGAAATGGAAACAAGTATCCAGTTCAGAGAGCCATTTGATGTATCTACAGTTATCGAAGCCACAACAGGCTGTTATGAGTAAAAACCCTTTTCATGAGCAGCATTTTGTTGCTGAAAAAGGGGGAACAATAAATGTGAAAGGCGGAATGACCAGAAACAGGGTTCGTTGTTAACCAGCTCCTTCCCATAAACCCCAGAGTCTGGGCTCCCAAACCGACTTCTCAGCTACCTAAGAAGATTACTTGGCCCGTGGGCACTCAGTCAGTGCCGGACGACCACAAGGACTCAAGGTCAAACCCCATGAATTCAGACTCCACAAAGCATCTTTGATAGATCCAAGCTGCTGCCCTTTCTGGGTTTGGAAAGCAAATTAGCAGTGAAACCAAGGGAAATCTCATCCTGTCTCAGAGCGATGGTGGGTTGAGCTTGCACATGCCACTCTTCAATGGTAGCATCTGTATTGGGTGACTATAGCAATTATAAATCATTCTTGTCCCCATCTCATCTCAACAGCAAGAATTAATTTCTTTTAAAATGTCTTAGAACAGGGGCGCCTGGGTGGCTCAGTGGGTTGAGTGTCCGACTTTGGCTCAGGTCATGATCTCACAGTTCACGGGTTCCAGCCCCGCATCAGGCTCTGAGCTATCAGCTCAGAGCCTGGAGCCTGCTTCGGATTCTGTGTGCATCCCTCTCTCTCCCCCTCTACCCCCTCTGTTTCAAAAATAAATAGACATTAAAAAAATGTTTAATGTGCTACAACAGATGTTTACTGTCAGGCTGATTTTCTGCCGTTAGCAAGGTGCTGGGCATTAACGGTTATGATGCCCGTTCTCAAGTCCCTTTAAGTTCTCTCCCTGGACACTCGGCCACCGCTTCTGATCCATTCCTAATTTTCTGTACAGTCTGTCCAAGACTTTCCCCTGGGACCTTCTCCGTATTCAAAGCATATGTTAGAACAAACATCAAGCAAAAGGTTAAAAAAAAAAAAGTGCTGCTGCCCGGTATAAATTAGCCAATGACTGTTTACACTGCCCAGAGAAAGTCCCCACACTCAGACAGCTGATAAAATACTGCTGGAGGCCTCGCGCTCACCCCCGGGACCAGTGAGCAGAGGCCCATCATGAGTGCAAAGAGCCTTCTGCAAGCCACCATCTTAGAAGCCCAGATGGGCCCAGGGAGGAAGGGCATTCAGAATGAGACCCAGCAGGGGCTGTGCGGAGCCGCTGGCCAGCCCCTGGTCTGCTGTGCCAAGAGTTAAGGCCATCGGCTGTGAGACCTTCCTGCCAGGCTGAGTAGAGCACATTCCAACTTAGCAAGCTCACGCATCACTAGGGTGGATCTGAGAGCAGACTATGGCAGCTCACAGGAGGTCCCCTTAAAGTCATTATCATGCAGATATAATGAACAGCCAGGAAGCCAAGGGTCCAAGGGCGGCAAAATGACATGGACATTCAAGCTCTCGATTAAAAAAAAAAAAAAGTGACACATGGTCTTTCCTCCAAGACAATGTCATGACTCTCCATCCAATCATCACATCCAGCTGTCTGGTCCAGAGGCTGGTCCTTCTGGGACATGAGTCATCAGCTTCTGATCAGCCCCAGGGCCAAGTTCTCAAGAACCCTTCCTTCTCTTTCTCTGGTCAGGAATTTGAGGCAAGAAAGAAGGCAGGTAGGCAGGGAAGAGGATGTCAGAGTACCTCGTGGGATAGATGTCCCGCTGACTCCAGAGAGCCTGACTTGATCCTAGCACATCACGGTCCAACAGAAATAACCTTCAACTTCATTCTCCCCTAGAGGGTCCTTCCTGCACCTCCCCCCTTCTGGGTGAGCAGAGAATTCAAGCACCAGCTCAGATCTCACAGGGGACTTCTACCTACATCTAGGCTGGTTGGGACACAGCATCTACTAAGGCCGTGCGTTCCTGTGCTGGGTTCTTATCGACATTGACCCTTCTCCACTGACCATAGTAGACGCAGACTACCTGGTTTTACCCAATGGTGTTCACTTACAAGCTCAGGGCCTGACCTTGGCTCTCTCTGTGTGGTGATCACAGCCAGATTTCAGGCTGTGGTTTGTACCATGCTACCACGTGACTAAGTACATGTTCATCCCTCAAACCTAACCCACCAGCCCTAGTTTACAAAAGAGCCTAACATCTCTGTCTCCCCTCCCCCCAAATCTGGTGTCTTTTTTAAATTGTTTACTTTGCAGCCCTTAAGGGAGTTATCCGCAAGGCATGGGAAGGAAAACTGGAGCTGAGGGACACACAACCAGCAAACGGAAGAAGTGAATTCAAACTCAGAGCTCTGCTACCCAATGTCCCCACTTCATCTTCCTGTTAATAAGACCCCGTCGATGTGACGCTGTGCCAATGGTCTTATGCTGGAGTCGGGTATGCCATCATCTCCCTGACAACAGTGTACGCTCCTCAAGGGTCAAGACCATGAGCACACTCACTCGCTTCTCCCACTTTCTCAGTCAGCTTACATACACAGTGCCACACGTCACGACGTCAGCTACGCTCTATATTTATAATGAAATGTGACATTTAAAATCTGAACTTTTCCAAATGTAACTAAGGGAATGATTAGTCATATTACCAAGAGCTTATTTTCTTTTAGGAAGAAAAAAACAAGTCACAACTCAATTCCTCTAGGTAAAAGCCCTAAAGGACTGGAAATATCTATTGCAAGATGCCCCTCAATGGAGACATGAATGGCTATGTCAAGTTTGCAGAGTGGTACTCACCAGGTGAGGCATCAGGAGGTCAGCCAGGTAGACAAAAGCAGCTCCGAGAGTGAAGCCAATGGCCACAGGGAAGAAGGCAAAGGCGCCGAAGCCCCCAGAGGATGTGGCCATCTCCACTGCCGGGGCCAGGAGAGACCAATAGGAAGCCGCTAACATGACCTGCAAAACCACGGTGAAGAATAAACCATTACACCAACCACACAGAAGGTGTTGCAAGTGCAGACTTGAGCTGCTCTCTGTGGCCCAAACCGAACCTTACGCGTGTGTTAGGCCTTTACTCTTCCGTGGTAGGTACTGTCTCAAAACAAAAAGCCACCACCAGAATGCCTGGAACTCATGTCATAGACACTCAACATGGGGCAGGCGGGAGCTGACCTTGTGAGGATGGGGACCTAGATGCTGTCATCCAGCCTCTAAGCCAAGGGCTCTTGACGGTGGCCAACTGTGCCTTCCAAGGGACATTTGACGATGTCTGGAGACATTTTTTTGTTGTCACAGTAGAGGTGTGTCACACACATCTGTCTCCCTTTCATTTTTGCCTGTTAGCTTTCTAGATCTGTCTCTGAGGCACCAAAAGAAGGTGTCTTTCCTCTTTGACAAGTGGCAGCCTTTGAAATATTTGAGGACAACCACCGATCAATACCAGCTTGGCCTTGCCAACTCTGTTATCTCTGAAAGGAAAGAAGGGAACTAATACTTATCGATCGCCTACTATTTCCAGGGAAATACATCTTTGATTTCTTATTCTATCATTGCCACAACCCTGGGAGGCAGATGCTGTCTTCTACTGCTGTCTGTAGATAAAGACACTGAGTCTAGAAGTAGTAAGAATTTGCACAAGGGCACACGGCCATTAAACGGCATATCCTGAACGGAACAAATAGGACCTAATCGCCTCGATGAGGGCAGAAACATGAAAGGAAAGGGAAAAATGAAGCTGAACCCAAACGTCAGTGAGGTCAATTTGATAAACCTTCTCCAGTGTTTACCGAATTAAACACCCATCCATGGGTGTTTACTCTTATAGATGGCAGTTACTCTTATAGGTGCGGTGACATCTTCTTGGCGAAGAGTACACCCACTACCCATCGTAACCATATGACAGTCATCACTGACATGCAAAATGCTGAATGGGTTTCTAAAAATGATTTAATTATGCCTTGCCTTAAAAAAAAAAATCTGCATCACCCATCTCCAAAATAACACTCGGAGTGACAGAACCGGGAATTACAGAAGCAACAATAAAGAACAAATCCAGGCAGAAAGGAATTTCTCTTCTGCCAACAACCAGCCACACATGGTCCATTGCTCTGAGCCTGATTCTACCAGCAAAAGTCTTAGTGCCACCCCCGGAAAACTAGATCTGCCTCAGAAACTTCCAGAAAGAAAGAAGATGTCTCATCGGCTCAGGTCCAAGAGACCATCCGAGGAAGCGTGTGGGCTCCTTCTCCATGCCACAGCCCAACACATCCCAAACTGCTGTCTCACTGGCTTTAGAACTCAACAACCCTTGGGGCGGCTCAGTCGGTTGAGCATCCGACTTTGGCTCAGGTCATGATTTCACAATTTGTGGGTTCGAGTCCTGCGTCGGGCTCTGTGCTGACAGTTGGGAGCCTGGAGCCTGCTTCAGACTCTGGGTCTCATTCTCTCCCCCTCCCCCGCTCACACTCCATCTCTCTATCTCTCTCAAAATTAACCATAAAAAAAAAATTTTTTTTTAAAGAACTCAACAGCCCCTGAGAATTGCTGTTGGTGGTGAACTCCACACCAAGGAGGATCTACACACACCTGTCCAACAACCTCTTTCCTTGCACGTTCTGGGGCCTTCCATACAGCCCCACCATCGGCAACTCTAAAATGGCGCCATCCAGGAAGGCCATTCATCACATCCTTCAACGCTTCCCCGCACCCTATCCTTGTCGATGCCATGGCTCAGGGGCACTTCCTCAGCCTCGGCTCCCCATCCCCTCTTCAACACAAAGTCCGTCTCCCTTTGCCCAACCTCCTTTTCATCCCCTAGCATCACTGTGTGCCAACTTTCCTCTGCCCCTCCACACAAAATGACAAGACATCACCATGGAGGAGTGACACGAGGTAGGGCAGGAGAGATGTGCCCCTCAAGGCAGGGGTATGCCAGAATCTGGGTGCTTGAAACAGAAAAACAGCCCAGATGATTGAGGTGGGCCCCACCTTGGGAATCCCCATTCTTCATCCTTTCAGTTATATGCAGGACCCAACAGGACTGCCTTCATTTCTCTTCCTCACCAGACTCCCAGTCGCCCACACAAACTAGAAAAGGGACCAGAGAACAGTCGTGAGATAGTAGTGAGTTGTCTGTCCCAAGCGACCACAAGGCCCAAAGAAAAGTTATTTAAGGGGCAGATGTGGTAGACAAAACAGTGACCTCCCCCAAAAGACAGCCACATCCCAATCCCCAAAACCTGTGAATATGTCACCTTAAGGGGCTCTGTGGTTGTGATTAAGTTAAGGATTCTTCCATGAGCCTGTCTGCACTCAGCAGGTTCCCACCCTCGCCCCCATCTCGCTGCCTACCCCTCCTCCCGGGTGGCCCTTTTCCAACATACTAGATTCATTATTTGTGTCCATATTCCCCCGGGACTAGGATTAGGGCCATGCTACGAGCATCTTTTATATCCCGAGCACCACAGACCAAGCCGTCTTGGGCAGAGCAGCTCTTTAGTACAGGTTGGCCCAGATGAATCCTCTGTTACCCAGCTAGTGAAGGGGAGCGACGGGTGCAGAGAAATCAAAAGAAGGCGTAATCAGGAAGTGATTCAACAATCATTCTTTAGTCTACTACCTAAATGTTAGTCTACTACCTAAATTACCTTCCAAATGAAGTACCATATAGGCTCATACTCAAATGCCTTCAGTCCTCTGACAAACACTGGATGAGTCATTGTTTAAAGTAATGGAATTTTTCTTAGGTGTGGAAAGAAGATTGTGTAGAATTCTCGGAGCGTCACAGATAATCCACTGAACAGAATCTCCTGATAGAATTGCACTCTTAGAGCTGAAAGGGGTTTCAGGAGGCTGCACAGTCCAAATGCTTCATTTAACAAGAGGGAAAACTGAGACCCGAAGAGATCCAGTGGCTTTCCCAAAGCCCCAGAGCAAGCTGATATAATCCAAAACTGCCTGCACCCTCCCCCACATCAAGTCAGCCCCACCCCCCCACCTCCACTGACACCCCCCCCCCGGCTCTTTTAAGAAATTCTTTTTTTTTTTAATATTTTTTATTTATTTCTAGGAGAGAGGGAGGGAGACACAGACTCTTAAATAGGCTCCAGGCTCTGAGCTGGCAGTCAGCACAGAGCCCGACGCGGGGCTCGAACCCACAAAACGCGAGATCATGACCTAAGCGAAAGTCAGACGCTTAACCGACTAAGCCACCCAGGCGCCCCTCTTTCAAGGAATGCTAAGGGACACAGAGTAAAGACAGAATTAAAGTTAGGGCCTCCCTTATCACCAGGCATGCCATCCCACGACCACAGCCTGGGATGAATCAGCTTTAGCAATAATCAAATGTAACCGATCCCATGGGCATTTCCCGCCATTGGGATATCAGCTGCTCCAAGAAAAATCGAGCACTAGGAAATCTTTGGCAACTCATCAACAGGAGAAATGACCTTGTGGAATGTTTTTCTCTGCAAGATTCAGCAGACCTTACAAACCAAAATAAACCTTAAAAACTGAAACCCATAGCCCATGATTGCCTTAGAGGGAGGGGAAACAAGAAGTTCTGTAAGTCAGAAGATAATTTCCGCCTAGCAGCATAGCTAAAGCTGGAAGGTTCAAAACAAAGTCTAGTACATTATGATTCCGATGTAGGGCTCTGAATGAGAAGCACACCTTCCTCTCTTACAGACTACGCTTCAAAACAGGACACTCTAAATGCAGCATGCATCCCAATTGAATCCTGGGAACAGGGGAAGGGCATCAGTGGGGAAGACCATGAAATCCAACTGAACATCTGGGGTGCAGGGAACAGTAATGTATCAGTGTTAATTTCTTGGCTTTGACAAGCGGGCTATGGTTATGTAAGATGTTTAGGGGGAAAGTGGATAAGAGCATGAGGAAATCCCCTGAGCTATTTTTGAATGTTCTCTTAAAATCTAAAATACTTCCAAAGAGTTTATTAAAAATTAGTAATAACAGTTACAGAGGCCTGGGAGAAGATCGAGGGGGATCACTGCAGCCAAGGAACATAAACTGTGTGAACAAAGACTCGAAGCCAAGAGAGCGCATGGTTTGCTTTGTGGGGTCAGCGAAGTGACCGGCCTGGGGCGGCACTACTCATGGTGGCCAGAGGGGACTGCATGCCTCACAAGCTTCACCTCCAGGAAACCTACACCTCTCCCTCCTTGTGGCTCAGAGAGGGTGAGTAAGTTACCTAAGGACAACCAGCAGGAAGTCGCGGAGCCAGGATCTAAAACCTAGGCCATGCTCTTCATGCCAAAGCTGCATTCCACCTCCCAGACGTTTGAAATTCCCCAGCATCAGTAACATTCACAATGTCACCTGTTTAGTACGTCTACACAGAGAATGATCTCCCCCTAAATATAACTGTCAGTGTTGACTGTGTTTCAAACAGCAGTGTTTGGGGTGCTGACGTATGTCAATCCTAGCCCATCAGGGAATACATGAAGTTGAAATTGTGGAACTTTATAGTTAACGGTGGCTGATCAAACACAGGCTGATGGCTCCTGACCAAATTCCCGCTAGACTTAAAGTATAGGGACAGGAAGGATCTCAATCACAAAAAAGGAAGGGAGAGGGAAAGGAGGGGCAGGTGAGGACTGACAGACACCCTGAGAAGGCCGATCTAAGGCGGCTCACTGCACAGAACCCAGATTAGCCCAGGGATGGAGGGGCCCGGAGCCACCCAAAATGGGCGTGCAATCGGGGCGAAAAAGAAGACTGGAGGAAAGGCTGGATAAGAAGCCATCAGACCCCAGATTCTTCCTGTACCTCATATGGCCAAGCAACTGGCCTGCCAGACACTTGGGGACACCCCCACCCCCACCCCATGCCCAGCTAGAGGCTGGACCGCACTGAAAACAGGAGAAGGTGAAAGCCTGTGTATAGAACAAGGGAGTCCAGTGCGCTACCACGTCCCAGCCCCCCCCCCCCACCGC